CACTATATGCTAACTAATTTGGATGCAAATTTTAAAAAATAAAACATAAAATAAAATAAAATACAACTCATACTGGTCTTCTAAAAACCTGTATCTCCACAATAAGGTTCTATTTAATTAGATGAATGTTTTTCAAATGTAGTTGCTTGTCTATGTATTTTTTTTAATTTGAAATGACTGCATCTTGGGAGTTTTTGCCCCTTGATCAGATATGATTTCCCTTAGCTTGCCCAAAAAATCTATAAAGATTTGGGAGAAATACCTGAATAATAAGTATTTCCTCAACAAAGAAAAACATGTAAAGTACTTACTGATATAATTTTCTAAAGTAACTCTACTTGCGTCATTGGATCTCTCTGGAGATATCTAGAATTCATGGTTACATTCTCTAATTTGTATAGAAAATAAAATTAAACAAAAGGGGTAAAATGTTGGAAAGTTCTTTTTGTATACTATATGCTGGTTAAAGAAGCAATAAACCTCTTCCATACCATCTTCTATCTTCCCCTTTCAGGAAGCTGTGCTACATTACAAAAGCTATGAACCCAAGGAAATGGTGACTAGGTTTTGGTAAGTGTCACAGTGAACTAGGCATAGAAGACACCATTTTCACTAATTTTCTAGGCTTGGATATGAACACACAAGTGTGTATTATAAGTATGAACAGAAAAAGAAATGTTTTAAAAGGTTAAAATTGAAATCTTGCCATTTACAACAATGTGGACAGAACTGGAGGGTATTAGGCTAAGCGAAATAAATCAGTCAGAGAAAGACAGATATCATATGACTTCACTCAGATGTGGAATTTGAGAAACTCAACAGATAAACATAGGTGAAGGGAAGGAAAAATAAGATAAAAACAGAGGGAGAGGCAAACCATAAGAGACTTTTAAATACAGAGAACAAACTGAGGGTTGCTGGAGGGGGGTGTAGTGGGGGAGTGAGTTAAATGGGTGAGGGGCATTAAGAAGTACACTTTTAAGGATGAGAATTGGGTATATGTAAGAGATGCTTCACTGGGTTCTACTCCCAAAGCAAAGACTACACTGTATGTTAAATAACTTGAAAATAAATTAACAAAAAAATAAATAAATAAAAATAAAGTAATACTAAAAAAAAGTAGATAGACAATGAGAAGTTGCTGGAGGGAAAAAAGAGAACTCATAATTAAAACCTATGTGCACACATTTGGCTAAACAGTTAAAAATCGTTAGAATAAATGGGAGCAGGTATATAGATAACCCCAATGGGTTCACTGTTTTACCTTGAATTTTTTATATTAACTTTGGATTTAGTGTTTTGTTTTTTTTAAGCTATGCTGGGATTGATAACACAGAACACTAAAAATAATAAAGTTATATTATAAAACAAAAAAGAAAAAAAGGCTAAAATTGGTTTTCACTATATTTAGCAGGTATTTTCTTTGATCTTTGTCCCACAAAGTATTTCTCAGATTTCTTATGAAACGTTTGTTTCTCATTAGTTTAACAGTGGAATCCTACATTTCATTAGATCAAAATTGTCATTTCAAACTAACTTTTAGTTAAGTACCAAACATATGAATATTTTCATAATTCCTAATTTAACTTCCAAAAGAATTTGGGGGAAAAAGGGGAATATAGCTAAAGCTCTTAAATGTAACTTTACCAGGGGTCATAATAAATAAGAACATACACAGAGACAAGACAGAAAAAAAAAAAAAAAAAAAGAAATGGAAGAGACAAGATGAAAAAGAAGCAAAAAAAGAAAAAAACCCAAAAACCAGAATGGACAAATATGTATAAAGGTGGCCAGTAGGTACTAAATAGCAAGAAAAATACATGAAAAACATAGTCTAAAACTAAGAGAATGGTGTTTACTATGCAATTACCAAACTTAAAATAATAGCTTTAAAAATCAAATAGACTGAGGGAAGGAGTTAACTTGGTGAAATAGTAGGAGGACCTTATGCTTGCCTTATACCTTGAACACAGCTAGATATTATCAAATCATTCTGGGGGCACCTGGGTGGCTCAGTTAAGCCTCCAACTTCAG